GCTCTGCTGGTGAGCCTCCTGAAGGCACATGGATGGACCATTGGCCGATCCAACATGGCTTTTCTTATGTCTGGGGCAGTGATGCTCTGTATTCGTGGTGCTTGGGGGGCAACAGGGGGATGGCTTCTGGCCCCGCTGGTGGACCTCCTGATGGCCCCTGGGTTTCAGCCACTGTGGGACACCAAGTGTTGACTGGATGGGCCATTGGCCTGACCCAACATGGCTTCTCTTCTGCTCTTATGTCTGGGGCAGTGCTGCTCTGTATTCGTGGTGCTTGGGGGGGGCAACAGGGCTTCTGGCCCCGCTGGTGGACCTCCTGATGGCCCCTGGGTTTCAGCCACTGTGTGACACCGAGTGTTGACTGGATGGGCCATTGGCCTGACCCAACATGGCTTCTCTTATGTCCTTAAGGGAAAGCTGCACGTCATGAAATCTGGTTTAGGGCTAGGAAGGCAGGGTGGCCTCCCAGCCTTTCCCAAAGAAAGCATGCCTTGCCCTCCATTTGCCAGCTCGGCTACTCCGCGGGGGGGGGGGGGGCTTCCAGTCCTCTCTCCCTTTGCCCCAAGGGCGCTGGGCCATTTCATCCAAGGAGAAGGGGTATGTGGTTGTAATATACTCAGCTCTGACCGCGTGGCCAGCTTGGGCTCCACGCGGTCAAGCGCCAACGCTTCGCTCGAAAAGACAATGGACTATAAAAATCCTAGCCCGCACCAATCAGGGGGCTAGGTTCCCAGCGGAGAGCCTATGGTCGACATGTACAAGAAAACAGCATAGGAAAGTGTCCCCTTCCACTATCCTGTATAAGGAGGGTCCCTAAGGAACCAAGACTTATAAAGAGGAAAAGAGAAAACGTCGGTGGGATGACCCAAAGTAATATGAGAGCAAAGCTCTTCAGTCTAAAAAAATATTTTATCATGTATTTAGATTGAAGAGCTTTGTCCTCATATTATATTGGGTCGTCCCATGGACTCTTCCACTATCCCACAATCCACCATGAATCTGAGGCTGCCAAAGGAGATGAGAGGATGGAGTTTGGGGAGGAGGTGGAGCTCAGTGTGAATGATAATATAAAGCTGCACCCTCCAAAGGAGCCATTTTCTCCAGGGGAAAAAGTTTCTTTGTAGTCTACAGATCAGTTGTAATGCCAGGAAAACTCCAGGCTGCACCTGGAGGTTGGCAACCCTGGAGTTCCATGAATTTCCCCCCCACACGGACACGCACACACACACTACAATTGCAACAGATAAGCACAGTGGAAAGCCAATGGGAAGGCTGCTGAGTGAGAGCCAATCAGGAAACAGGGAGTGCTAAGTCCTGCCCTCTGTGCTACTTACTGACTGCTCCCCCCCCCATGCCCTAAGGTTTCCTGCCTAGCCTGCAAGGCCGTTTCATTTCCCAGAGCTTCAACTAGTGTATAGACGGTAGGCCTTTTATGAGGGGGTTATTTGAAGTTTGATTTTGTATGTTTTAAATTGTAATTTTTCAGCCACCTTCAGCCATGAGGAAATTTTAATACAATTAAACACTGGAGAAAACATCAGTGAAATGCCAGGGGGGAGAGAAGCAAAGCAGAATAAACAGCAGGCAGACTGAAGTTCACCCTTTTAAGTTTCTGCCAGAAAAGCAAGAAAGGGACTAGGGCATGTAGAAAAAAGTCCAACAGCAATTTACCATCTTCTTTCTCAGAAGGTGCTTGTGCCTTTTAGGCGTCCCTTTAAAAACTGGCTCCAACTTAACAAAACAACAGAGCCTCAGCCTCCCCCCCCCCCAAGTGACATTCTTGTGTCCAAAACACTGCGACACAATCTTGTGTCCAAAACACTGCGACCCAAGATGGAGTCCCTGCGGCTCAGTGGCAGAGGGCAGGGCCTCCTCTGTTGTGGCACCCATATGAACAGCTGAGACCCTAGAGCAGTGGTTCTCAACCTGAGGGTCGCGACCCCTTTGGGGGTCAAACGACCCTTTCACAGGGGTCGCCTAAGACCATCGGAAAACACAAATTTTCGATGGTCTTATGATAGCAACGAAAATAATTTTATGGTTGGGGGTCACCACAACATGAGGAACTGTATTAAAGGGTCGCGGCATTAGGAAGGTTGAGAGCCACTGCCCTGGAGAAAGGAGTTTGGGGGAAGTATGTAGGGAAGGATGGCTTTTGGACAAGGAATAAGGTTGCTGTTAGTCAGGGCAGGCTCCCACAAGTTATAGGGCCAGTACCGAGGGGTCACATTAGAGGCCCCGACTGACATGAAGCAGGTTTCCCCTCCATCCCCCACTGTCAGCTCTCCTCTGGCGTTATGGCAGCACCTCTGAGGCAGTGGCCAGCAACCAGCTCTCTGGGAACTATCTAGAATGGGAAGGGGCCATGATGACTCAGCAGCAGAGCCTCTGGCCTCAGGTTCAGTCCTCTGCTTCTCCGGTTAAAAGGTTAAAAGGATCTGGTAGGAGGTGATGTGAAAGGCCTCTGCCAGGGACCCTGGAGAGCAGCTGCCAGTTGGGACAGACAATACTCACCCTGAGGGACCAAAGGTCTGAGTCACCGGAAGGCAGCGTCAAGTCTGTTTATGTGGGAAAGGCAATTAAGGGGGGGGGGAGGAATTGTCAAGAACCCATGCTGTTTTTAGATGCACCACATGTTTGACAAAGATAATAGCGTTGTTATTCAAGAGGGCTTTTAAACAATGGTCATAGGGGTGTAGTGTAGCAAAATGGTTCTGAAAGATACTTGGGTGAAGGGTTAGGGACTGTGGGCCACAATACAGTGTACAGTTTGTCATACTGCAGGTTACTGTGAGGAGGATCTTAGTATGAAATTTTTATATTAACACATCAATACATATGCTTTTCTTTCAGTTCCGTTTGCAGATTTCTGCTTGGTTCCAGATTTCTACAATCCAAATCCTATTGCATTAATTTATTGAATGTCCCATCCTGCTAATTGGGTTGACTTACCCTATGTATTTTTTTACATTTATAATTCAATTTATATCCTGCCCTCCCCTAAGGCTCAGGGCGGCTAACAATTGGGGCAAAAGCCATAATTAAAACAATTAAAACAAGATAAAAACATAACAATAGTACAACAAAGTGCTGGTGCTCTGATGTTCCCAGTTCCAAGATGGGTTCCGGTAGGGTGGATCCGGACCAATGACGTAAGTTCCAAAGTGGCAGATAGCCAGTCTTCTTGCACCCTGATGGTATCTCTGCCAATTTTCAGTGACGGTGCATTGATGGAACTCGAAAGGCTGGCGGAAGAGCTCCGTCTTGCAGGCCCTGTAATCTGCCTTGGGTCCTGGTTAGAAGGGCAAGACTATAAATAATGTGAGTAAATAAATGATGGTTCAAGAAGCTGTTTAGATAAAAGGAACAGGCCTTCAGATGGTACCACTGTGTACCATATTATTTCCTGTATTATCCATTTCTCCGTTTCATTTCCTACTTTTGTAATACTGCTTTCTGACATATCACATCTGATACTTTTTACACTGTTTATAATCTTTGTAAACCTAGTATCATTGCGTATCTTATTAGGGGTCTCATCTCACTGATTACCTCAGCTTACACTGAGTAATCCACTTTAAGGCTTAGTAAGAAAGTTCGGGAGCTGTGGTGGTTCAAGCGCTGTCCGAAGATGTTTCCGTAGTCATGTGGCCGGCATGACTAAACACCGAGGCGCACGGAACGCTGTTACCTTCCCACTGAAGTGGTACCTATTTATCTACTTGCAATTTCTTGCTTTTGAACTGCTAGGCTGGCAGGAGCTGGAACTAGAGACGGGAGCTCACTCCGTCATGCGGCACCCGGGTCTCGAACTGCTGAACTACCGACCTTCCACAGCCTGCAGTTCAGCATCTTTACCACTTGAGCCACTGCAGTAGGAGGCAGGCTCTAATCCGGAGAACCAGGTTTGATTTCCCCACTCCTCCTCCTCATGAAACCTGGGTGACCTTGGGCCAGTCACAATCCTCTCACAACTCTTATAGCCCCACTTGCCTCACAAGGTGCCTGTTGTGGGGAGAGGAAGAAGTTTGTAAACTGCTTTGTGACTCCCTAGGGTACAGAAATGTGGGATATAAAAACCGGCTCTTCTAAGAAGGAAGCATTTTTTGCGCATTGACAAAGGGGCCCCTGTGTTAAAAGGGTGTGTTTGTGTGCTGTGAAATGGCTACATTCGGGAAGTTTAGAAAAGAGGGGATATGATAGAAGTTTATGAAATTATGCACAGGGTGGATAAATACTAGGATTCCATCTCTTCATCTAATGATGCTGATGGGCAGTATATTCAGGATGGACAAGGGTAAACATTTCTTTAAAAGGCTGATTAAAATGTGAAATTCACTGTCAAAGGATGTAATGATGGCTGCAGGCATAGACGGCTTTAAAAGGGGATTAGACAGGTTCATGGAGGACAGGTCTATCAGTGGCTACATGCCATGGTGGCTAAAGGAAACCTCCACATTCAGGAGTAAACCTCTGAATACCGGTTTGGTGTGAGAGCCAGTTTGGGGTAGTGGTTAGGAGCGTGGACTCTAAACTGGGAGAACTGGGTTTGATTCCCCACTCCTCCACATGCAGCTGCTGGTGTGACCTTGGGTCAGTTACAAGTTCTGTCAGAGCTGTTCTCTCACAAGCAGTTTCTCTCAGAGCTCTCTCAGCCCCACCTACCTCACAGGGTGTCTGTTGTGGGGAGGGGAAGGGAAAGGAGTTTGTAAGCTGCTCTGAGACTCCCAAGTGAAGGGCAGAGTATAAATCCAATCTCCTCTCCTCTTCCTCCTCCTATCAGTGCCAGGACCTTTACCTTTATGCCCTGTAGTTGGACCTCTAGAGGAACTGGTTGGCCACTGTGTAAGACAAGATATTGGACTAGATGGACCACTGGTCTGATCCAGCATGGCTCTTCATATGTTCTTACAGAATAAAGATTTGGTGTAGGGGTCACTTCCCAGACAGACGCATACAGTGGTGTGCATGAAGGAGGCATGTGACTTCCAGTACCAGACAATATAAAGCAGGCAGTGTACAGCCCTAGACATAAAGGTTCTGCTCAGGCAACACATGGTGGATTTATTTTCACACAATTTATTTTCATATGATCTACAGGTTGCTCCTGGATGGCAGTATGTTAAAATTTGTCAACCACAAACATTCTAAGAACTTATACTACTAGTTCATTGCGTGAATACTGTGATGATATCTATTAAGAGCAGGTTCATGAGAATGTCTTTCAGCAGCTTCTCTGTGTATCTATGGTTTTCTGCACTTTGTGAATTTTTTCATGTTTAAAAATATGGCCTACAATGAACCTACATTCTAGGTGTTTGCATGTTTTCTCCCTATTTTTATGTTTATATGTGTTTTTAAGTTTTCTCCCAAATCATTTCCCCCTCCCCCATATGAATTCTTTGATGAAAATAAGATTTTGAGTGAAGCAGTTTTCACGTTTGAGGAACTGAGCCGGTTTCGCTCCTGTGCAAATTCTTTTTATGTCTAATGAGACCTGCACTATGACTGAAATCCTTTCCACATTCCAAACATGTATATGCTTTTTTTCCTGAGTGGATTTCTTGATGTATAATAAGATACGTGCTCTGAGTGAAGCTTTTCCCACACTCCAGGCATTTAAATTCTTTTTCCTCTGCATGGATTCTTTGATGGGATGCAAGGTTTGTGTTCTGACTGAATCGCTTTCCACATTCCAAGCACTGATAGGGTTTCTCTCCTGTGTGGATTCTTTGATGGAATATAAGTTTTGCATTTCGACTGAAACTCTTTCCACACTCAGGGCATTTAAATGGTTTTTCTTGCGTGTGAATTTTCTCATGTGTAAGAAGATGAGACCTCTGAGTGAAGCTCTTTTCACACTCCAGGCATTTGTAGGGCTTCTCACCTGTATGTACTCTTTGATGCAAAGTAAGTGTTGTGCTGTGATTGAAACTCTTTCCACAGTCCAGGCATTTAAATGGTTTCTCCCCTGTGTGGATTCTTTGGTGCGCTTTAAGGTTTGAGTTCTGAGTGAAACTCTTTCCACAGTCAGAGCAAGTAAAAGGTTTTTCCCCTGTGTGAATACGCTGATGGACAGTAAGATGTGTGCTTTGATGGAAGCTCTTTCCACATTCTAGGCATTTAAATGCTTTTTCCCCTATGGTGGTACTCTGATGGGATACAAGGTTCTGGCTGAATCTCTTTCTATCTTTGAAGACTTTATACAGCTTCTCTTCTCTGTGGGTTCTCTCATGGGACGCAAGGGTTCTTTTTTGACAGAAACTCTTTCCACACTCGAGGCATTTAAATGGTTTTTCTCTCGTGTGACTTCTTTTATGGCTAATAAGTTTTGCACCCTGGTTGAAGGTCTTCCCACACTCCAGGCATTTAAATGGCTTCTCTCCTGTATGTAGTCTTTGATGTGAAGTAAGCGTTGAGCTGTGGTTGAAGCTTTTCCCACATTCCAGGCATGTGAATGGTTTCTCCCCTGTGTGGATTCTTTGGTGGGTTGTAAGGTTTGACTTATGGCGGAAACTTTTTCCACACTCTGAACAAGTATACGGTTTCTCCCCTGTGTGGATTCTTTGATGGGAAATAAGGTATGTGCTTTGACTGTAACCTTTCCCACATTCCACACATTTATATGGTTTCTCTCCTGTGTGGGTTCTTTCATGGGAAATAAGAGTCGAGCTTTGGCTGAATCTCCTTCCACACTGTGAGCAGGCAAATGGTTTCTCTCCTGTGTGAGTATTCCAGTGCACTTTCAGGCTGGACGTAGTAGCAAAGTTTTTCCCACATGCAGGACACTCGTTCTTTGTCTCTCTCTTGTATATCGTGTGAAGATGTAGAATTTCAGGGAAGTCATCCTGGGATTTGTTTCTGCCTTTATTTGTTTGGTTTTTCTCCCGATCTTTCTTTCCATCTACATCTCCAAAATTCTCTCTTAAGTCTGGAGACATTTCACTTTCCTCCTTCGATGGATGTGCTTCCTTTCCATTTTCTCTCTCCCACACATTTCCTGCAGAAACAGAGA